CGGACAGTTCTACTTGACCGACACGATTCACAGTTGGCACGTGGGTCAAGACATGAAGACAATGCAATCTGAAACTAAATTTGACTTAATTGGATGCCTAATTGATTTTTTATGAATTAATTAAAATTTGGACTGAATTAGTAGGCATGTCTAGCCAACCACACCACACGCGTCATCAATAGCTGCGCCATCACGACCACGTAATGGCTGCGTTCAAAAACCATTGCGCGCCTACTGAACGTGATATTCAGTAGGCGCGCAATGGTTTTTAGTCATGTAACTCTATTGTAGATAAAACATGTAAAGTACTGAAAAAAAAATCATAAAAAACGTTTTAATAACAAGCTTTTATGTAATGATGCACTAAAAAGTAGAAAATAAATTATAGACTACTATTTAAATAACTATAAAGAAAAGCGTGGGTGTCTTCCTTAACATTAGTAAAGGTATCCAATAGATACTAAAGTGACCCACGCTTTTCTTTATAGTTATTTAAATAGTAGTCTATAATTTATTTTCTACTTTTTAGTGCATCATTACATAAAAGCTTGTTATTAAAACGTTTTTTATGATTTTTTTTTTAATTATTTTAATTTTTCGCCATAATTATTATTATATTTTTATAGTATTAAATTATTATTAAACTCAAATTTTAAACAATAATTTCTTGTCAAAGAAAGTCGTAGGTTAAAGTAAATACAAATGGTAGCTGCAGAGAGGTAAATACAATAAGTAATAAAACAGATAGTGTTAGTTACCTCACAAGTTAATGTAACAATCTTTGTAGTTATAAAGTAAACATCAGGTAGATCTCAACCAGTGAACCATATACATCTATATTTTTGGGCTGGCCGTAGACGTAAAACATGTAAATCTACGTTCAGGTTTAGAATACTCTGCCAGTCTACATACGGTAATTTAAGCCATACTAGAATAAATATACATAATGTAATGGCGTGTTTGATTGCTAGTGCACCTGATTTTGAATTGTGCTGTATTCGCTTTTCGAAGTATGATCGTTTACTTTTACTTCAATACAGGTGACAAACATATATTTTAGAAAATTATATTTGTGAAACGGAAACTTTAAAAAAATGATATAAAATAAAGAATCAATCATGTAAGACCGTGGAACGGAGTCGTAGCTAAGGGAGGGCGGTGGGACACTAGGGGTGCCACCATGACACACCAGGCGTCAGGTCAATAAGTTAACCGATTTTACTGAAACTGTTTCCTGCATATCTCGCCAGTGACACGGTTAACCAATTACATTCCGAAAATCTACGCAGATGTAAACCTGGTTCAGGTACACACAGAAAGACGTATGTTCAGCGATATACGGAGAACTAAAAGATACGGACTTTTGTTGAAAATAATATGTTTGAAGTTTTAAATGTATGAAATAAATTTTATTTAAAGAAGGAAAATAAAATTAATGCATATTCGAATGTAGAAAAACATTTTAAATTATGCAACTGGAAAAGTGTTTTTTGTTGTCACAAGAACGCACAATAACAATAACGTCACATGTCGCATGTTTAAACTACTGAATGTACACAAAACTAATGGCGTCATCTTGTATTTTTAGAGTATGAAGAAATGAACTATTTCATTCAAATTTTATTTAGATCTATAGATCTACCTAACAAGATGTACCCTAGGAAAAGCATACAATTTTCTAGGCCAAAAGTAATACGAATTACTTTAAAAAACAACATAAATACCATTAAACAGCCGGATTTTTAACGGAATCTTTTTAGTTTCTTAAATGGTGTTGTGTTGACTAATAATGTATATATTTTATTTTTTCTAATAGGTATTGGTAGCCTATGTTATTTCAAATGTGTCGGATTTTTAGCTATGTGGTTATTTCTTTGTTTTGTCACTAATAACGTGCAACGTGTGCAGCGTTTTGACCAATAACTATTTTATAAAATATTTTTTCTCAATCTAGTATCCCATTAAAATATATAGGCTTATAATTCACGAGTACCGGGTATCGACGGCTAGGGACTACCTAAACCCCATCCACTAACTGCCCATCCCCCTTATGCTAACCAAAAGGCGTAGCGAGGGGGGGGGACATATGTCCCCGGGCGCCGAGCTTAGGATTGAAAGTTTAAGGGGGGGGGGGGGGTGCAAATCGAAAGTTTGAGGGGGGGGGGGGGGTTGCAAATCGAAAGTTTGAGGGGGGGGGGGGGTGCAAATCGAAAGTTTGAGGGGGGGGGGGTGCAAATCGAAAGTTTGAGGGGGGGGGTGCAAATCGAAAGTTTGTCCTCTGTGCTCACCCAATCTTTGCCCCAAAGCCCTTCAATGTTACCATGCCTTTCTGCTCTTCTTTCTGAATTCACCTTTGATATTCTCCTCTGCCCACCCTTTTCCCCTTTACTTTCCCCATGCACTCTACTCTTCCTTTTTACTCATCTTTTCTACCTATACACTTTACCCACCCCCACTACACCTCTACTTTTCCCACTTTTTTTACCCCTCCACTTTGCCCAACCTCTTCCCCCCCCCCCCCCCCACTATACACATCCCCACATCCCTCCACTTAGCCCACCCTTTTTACCCCTCCACTTTGCCCAACCCCTTTACCTCCCCCACTTTGTCAACCCGATTACCCCTCCAACCCGCCCACCCACTCTAACCATCTACTTCACCACTGTGCACACCCACTGTGCCACACTATGTCATCAAAAGTTAATGTAAATTTAATATGTCCTGACCTAGGTTGTAAATTGTTCCGTTTGATGTAGTAATGTTGTTACCAAAAAAGTAACACAGGTTATTGCTTTGAATGTAGTCATGTCTTTATAGTCAACACATAAAGTGGCTATGAACTTAGTACGCTTCGTTTATTTCTTTCGTATTACTTCTCTAGTGAGGTCAAGGGTGTTAAGATATAATAGGTTCAAGGTGTCGTTATACCGTATTACTTAAGATGGCGGTGCCCTCAAACCACCAGTTAGATGCAAAGCGAGTTTTTGTATTGACCTTATAAACAGAGGTTGCTGGTGTGCATACATGTTGGTGATACTCTCACACATGTTGGTGGTGCCCTCACACCTATTGGTGGTGCCCTCACACATATTGGTGGTGCCCTCGCACCTATTGGTGGTGCCCTAACACATATTGGTGGTGCCCTCACACATATTGGTGGTGCCCACACACATGTTGGTTATTCTCCCACACCTATTGGTGGTTCCCTCACACATATTGGTGGTTCCCTCGTGGTGCTCGTACATGTTACCGGTGCCCTCATAGTGCTGCAAGTGACACAAATGAACACATTGGAGAAACATTTTTTTTAAAGCGAAGCCCTGACCCATGACCTAAGTTCAAAGTTCATTTAGGCTTCACTCGTACTGGCTGTCCTTATATAAATAGATAGCTACAGTCAGTATAAGCAGTATAGCTTCCGGCTACAGTGTGCTATATGTGCTAAGGCTGCCTGCTCGATATTAAATATGATATGTAAGTTACAAGCCAAACTTTGACACCCAAGAGTTTTAACATTATGAAACCAATGAGTTAACTTGGTTAAAATAAACTATATTTTTTGTTACTCAGAAATGTGATTAACCGTGTCAATTTGCCTTGCTATTTTAGCTTTAGGTGAAGGGAGTTGTATTTAAAATTGCCCTGTACCCCTGTCACAAATATTACGATATATAAAATATCATTACCATGCATTACATCATCATGCGCATGGTTCTAGGAGAAATAATTGAAAAGGGTTAAAACATAATTGAGGCCAAATTAGGCTGTAAAATAAATGCGCTAAAATATATATTATCTAGTTTTTTTATCGTTTTTACCAACAAGCTAAACTTCATTTTAACAATAATTACGACCAAAAAAAGCGGATTCGTTTTTTTTTTTTTTAAAATATAACCTCGATTACCTCCCTGAAATAGTTTTCAGTTTCTTTTTATACAGAGTAAGTCTATAGAGGAAGTTTTGTAATCGTGGACAAAAATCACATGGAATTTCGACATTTAATTTTAATCGGGCAAAAAATTCTAAATCCAGATATATCTAAATTTCGGCGTTTTACGCGTAATCGAGAAGGAAAAACTGCACTATGCAATTCATTCCGTGTGTGTCTATCTGTGTATGTGTGTCTGTGAACACGATAACTTGAGTACCGTTACAGTTAGGTTGATGAAATGTCATATATAAGTATTATATTAAATTTGTTTTTCTGTATCCACTTTTCAGAAGTTTATTTTCTCTAATGATAAGTGTGGACGAACAATAGAGCGTCATACTGCAAACCGAAAGTCTCGAGTTCAAATTCTGGATTAAAGACAGTAAAACGTCTCTGGGTCCACCCAACTCTAACATTAGTGAAATTTAAGGCGTTGCTGGGCAATAGCTAGTACAACAACAAGGAGGTTGAATCAAACTTAAACAACGATTGCAAACCTGGTTGTCACGATCAGGGTTTCTGGTTTATTTTTGAAATAGCCCAGAATCCAAAAGCGTTGGAAATAAAAGCCTAAGAATCAACCATCGATTTCTTTAACGTAGCAGCCTAAACTCTATTAGTGATTGCTTTAACGTAGGTAGGCCAAACTCGATCAGCGATTTTTTTAACATTGGTCAAATACTACAAGCAAAGTGCTAATTACAGTGACCGGAAATCATTCAGAATTAGACATCTTCAATAAGTTCTTATACTTATGTATACAATTTCGTCACCTGATTAAACCAGTACCTATGTTATCAGTAGTTTAGAAACCGGAAGTAGACTTAATTTAAGCAACGGAAATATAATAAAGTGCATTTTCGGATATCGAAAATAATTAAAAAACATGTGAGATTTTTGCATACATACTAACATTTATATTTTAAATTTCGTTCACCTAACATAAAAGGCTTAAAGCTGTAGTATTTTCACAAACCTGAAGTATATTAAAAGATTAATAATATGTACGCACTTGTTTGCAATTCTCAATCGATAACGTTTGACTCCAAATAAACTAAAGAAACACATGTTCAAATATTAGAATAATTTTTATTTGGAGATCAACAATAAAATTAAAAGCGATATTTTTTTCCAGATAGTGAAAGTTATGCATTTTATTATTTAAATTCCGTTTCAGATAAAGACAAAATGTTTTTTTTCTGTTTTTTTTTTTCGTTCTGCTTAAATTATTTGATGAAAGTGGGCTGGGTGATTACAAATTGCAATTGTAGTTTTTAAATCTGCGCTTGATCTCCAAAAGTTTTTGAGGCAACATTAATAGTACAACCCAGCTTGTCCATCTGAAGTACCTAGCGGCAAGGCCGAACGTTCCTTAAAGATGATGAAAAGCTAGAGGGATAACCATGACTAAAGAAAAAAAAGCAAATAATTATATATACATATATATATATATATATATATATATATATATATATATATATATATATATATATATATAATGTTAATTTTCTGGCAAATGTATTACTAAGGGTTTAAATGTTTTTTTTAAATAAGTATATTCGAGTTTGTAGTTATAACATTATGTTATATCAAATGTCACCCAACTCTTACACATACAGAAATATACATCTGTTATATAAAAGGCTAAAGTTGTGCAGGCCGATTATATCCGCTAAAGAAATGGGAACGCCTAACCATTACGATTTCTTTTTCCCCGATCCGGTGTATTATAACATTGGGAGTGTTTGTGAGCTCATATAGGCACAATTAGGTGAAAATGAATTGTTTTCAAATTTAAAATATTTTTATTGGCCACACAAGCGGAATCATTCGCGCCTGCGCTTTTTTGCAACGCTAGTGCTAATTGGTTTCATTGATTCTGTATTTACATATTTTTTTAAAATTTATTTAACATTCTGAAATTAAAAAAAGGTGCTTATGATGTAATCTTAATAATATAAAACTAAACATTTTTTAAAATTTAAAATGCTGCTACTATTTTAATTAAGATATTACTTTTTATAATTTTCTACTTTTTATAACTCCCTTGGTGTCGGTGTCGGTGTCGGGGAGGTCAGTGTCGATGTAGATGTTGGTGTGGGTGTGGGTGTGGGTGGGTGTGTGGGTAAGGGTGTGGGTGTGGGTATGGGTGTGGGTGTGGGTGTGGGTGTAGGTGTAGGTGTAGGTGTAGGTGTAGGTGTAGGTGTAGGTGTAGGTGTAGGTGTAGGTGTAGGTGTAGGTGTAGGTGTAGGTGTAGGTGTAGGTGTAGGTGTAGGTGTAGGTGTAGGTGTAGGTGTAGGTGTAGGTGTAGGTGTAGGTGTAGGTGTAGGTGTAGGTGTAGGTGTAGGTGTAGGTGTAGGTGTAGGTGTAGGTGTAGGTGTAGGTGTAGGTGTAGGTGTAGGTGTAGGTGTAGGTGTAGGTGTAGGTGTAGGTGTAGGTGTAGGTGTAGGTGTAGGTGTAGGTTCAGGTGTAGGTGTAGGTGTAGGTGTAGGTGTAGGTGTAGGTGTAGGTGTAGGTGTAGGTGTAGTTGCGGTTGCAGGTGGAGGTTGAGGTTGAGGTTGAGGTTGAGGTTGAGGTGGAGATGAATGAGTAGGTATAGCTTTAGGTATTATGTGTATAGCAACATGCAAAAGTGGAAATCGGGTTAGTGTTCGAAATACGGGAAATGAAATAGGATTGTGACAGGAATAGCGAAATGAATAGGTGTATTATACGATTAGAGACAGAGATAGAGATATGGACAAGGACAAGAATCTGGATAGGAATAAGGATAGGGTCTAACAAGTAAAGTTTCATTTTTGGAACCAGACGGTCTATGGGGTAAATGAAGTAAAGTTCACATTTGTCTATGTTTTTAGCATATAAAGGGATAATTTGGTAAGCACTATGCTCAGCTGAATGTTTATTGCAGTAGCCTAATTGTTAAATAGATTGGGACTAGAAAAGAGTTATGATTATATTTCTGGTTATGGTTGTGAGAGTTAGTGTTGTATTACTTTTCTCGGACGTCCATATTTGCATTTAGACAATTAATTAAAACTTATTTTTATCCCCGAATCCCGAGCTGAGAAAGGTATATGCAGCAAGTGTTAAATAGACACACTTCTCAGAACCTGCTTAGATATCCAAGAGCTTTTTTTCTAGCAAACGAATATAGGACCACTTTAGGACAACTTTGCCTACTCAAACAAAAACTTCTTTTCTCTTTAAAAAACCTATTATTACTGCCATTTGATATATAAACGCTAACAGAACAAGCATATTATCAATGACTACAATATATCATCAAAACTTTTGTTAAACAACAAATGGCGACTAAACTGATCTGCTAGTCTGGTTAACGTAAAACCCGTATAGTGTGTCTCATTTCCTCCCGCATGTCTTAACTCCATGTCGTGGCAGCCCATCATGAGATATGAAATTGTCGCTGGCTGAAGAGAAAGAAACAAATACGTACAATAGTTAAAGTGTATACACACGCAGTAAAAATCAATATACATAAAACAATGTATGTTTCTTTGTTTATTACTTTGTGTGTCTGTCGTATATGCATTACTACACCTTGGGGCTGGCAGGGCGTGATTTGATTTTTCTAAATTGGGTATATAAGAATAAAAGTCGATTGCGGTTTGACACCAATCATTAGGGAGTTGAATAAAACACTCTAGGATAGGTTTCTGTAAAAAAAAAAATCATTTTTTTTAAATTTAGCAAGGGCGGCACTATGGCGCCTACGTTCGTTTTAAACCGTTTGATAGAATATGGATAAAATTGGGTTTTAGAGTAGATTACTCAATATAATTAGGCGCGTTCGCCGGCGACCCGACAAGGTGCAATTTGGTGCCCAGGGCTTTTTTTTTGGCGGTAGTGTAGGAAACCAGTACCCCGATAAATATCATCCAAGTGCAGGCATTGTTTACATTAAATAACGCAGTTTTAGAAAACATGGTCTTTCGTCTTTTATCAATTAGTAAAGCATTTATGAAACCCTCCTTATATTCCGATTTATTTTTTCTTTTATGCATCACTACACCTTTCATCTGATTGCCATGTAACTTTGGGAAGTTGTTGAGAATATTCGTGGGGAGTCTTCTGCGAAAAACAAAAATCAATTTCGCACGAGCGTCGTCCGGCAGAGTGTAATGTGTTGCCCCGGATTATCCCGTGAGCACTATGGGCCTAGTTTCAAACAGTGAGATAGACTATGAATAAGATGGGGCGTTTAATCGTACACTAAATCTAATCAGACACTTTCACCGGCGTCCGAGAGTTCGCGATTTGTCGCTCTGGGCTACATCGGTAGAGCTATGATGGTGGATAGAATATTGATAAGAAATAGTATTGTAGTCGTTCACTAAACTGAATCAGGTGCGTCTGACTGCGCCCCAGCAGAGTACGATTTGCCCCGGGTTATCCTGTGTTTTTTTTAACCCCGCGGCAACGCGCAGGGACAGGCATGCTAGTATATTAAGGATAGACAATACGGATAAAAATTCATTTTTATTTAACACATTTCTGGGTGTTTAATAAATTCAAAAGTTGTTAACCTATTGACAAAAATAATGTATAGCCGCCAATAGCAGTACTGGGTGCCATGGAAATCACAAAAAAAGGTGTGAAAACGAACACCTTTTCAAACATCTATAACTTTGTTATAAGAGATTTTTAAAACTGATGAAAGATGTAGATTTCTTAAACTACACATGTATACGTTTATTCATTGCGGTAGCTCGTACTCAATTTTTAATACAATTTTTTAGGTACATTTATATACACAAATTAGGGGGTGGTGCTACATAAATATCAATATTTCCTAAAATATTTTAATAAACTTAATGTTCAAACGTAGTTTTGTAAATAGTATAATGCTGAATAACTTGGAATGCGATTTTAATGTTGAACTTTGAGTAAAAATGCAATGTTGAGAAAACGTAAAAAGAAGGACGAAAAAAGGCATTGTGCGTTTATTCTTGTAAAAAACAGAAAAAAAAAACGTCTTGTTATGTTTGAAAAAAAAAACAATTTTAATACTAAAATACGCTTTGAATTATGTTGTAACTTTTAGACAGATTTTTCTATGTAAGCAGAAAATATTTGTAGAACAGGTAATGAATTTATAACTATTAAATCTAACACATCCTATCAATCGAGTGTTAGTCTCAGAACAGCTATCATCAAACCTGATTAAGTTTTGTTTGTAAACCGGTCTTCTCACTGCAATACTCTATCTATCTCTACTTAATTTGTTTCTTACAAACGTTTATTGCCTTTTGATAACAGCCTACTGCACAATCCTTGGTACAGCACTTGAGAGTAAACAATCCCCCTATCTCACACCTACCCATTAATACTAATAGTTTCGCTGTCTGTCTATCTGACAAGAACGCTCTGTCTGACAAGAACGCTCTGTCTGACAAGAACGCTCTAGAGAAAACACAAGCAAAATAAAAACATGCACAGTAATTCGAAAAACGGAATATGACGTCGACACATTTAGCGTAGAGTAGAACATAATCTCAAACCAGAGAGTGCACACAGTAAAATGACGTCATTGATTATCGCGTAAACATTGAAAAAAAGGAAATGTTGTCTAATCTAAATGGTTTGCGTGAAGAGTTTCTTGCATACAATTCTTCGGGTAGGGGCGAAGCCCCACCCCCCGCGTAAGAACGTCTGAGCCCCCCCCCCCCCCCTCCACAACTCAAAAGAAATTTCCTCATCGATACTCTATAATAAAATTACCGCCTAATTAATGTGTCTAATCTAAAAAGTGGTTTTCTTGCAATGGGACGGTAGACATGTTTTTTTTTTGGGGGGTGGAGGGGTGGGTGTGTGGGGGGGGGGGGGGTGGTGTTTTGGGGTGGGGGGGGGGTGGGGGTGGTGTGTGGTGTGTGGGTTGGTTTCAGTGTTTCTTTCAGACTTTTTCCTCCCCGGAGAGGGGTGGGGGTACTTGAAATTTTCGGGGGCGGGGGTAGAATTTTCTGGGAGGGGGCGGACACTGGAAAAAGTATATAATTATATTTCGTTGAATGGGACGGTAGACATGTTTTTTTGGGGGGTGGGGGGTGGTGGAGGGGTGGGGGTGGTGGTGTGTGTGGGGGGTGGGGGTGGGGGGTGGTGTGTGTGGGGGGGGGGGGTGGTGTGTGTGGGGGGGGGGGGTGGGGGGTGGTGTGTGGGGGGGTGGGTTGGTTTCAGTGTTTCTTTCAGACTTTTTCCTCCCCGGAGAGGGGTGGGGGTACTTGAAATTTTCGGGGGCGGGGGTAGAATTTTCTGGGAGGGGGCGGACACTGGAAAAAGTATATAATTATATTTCGTTGAATGGGACGGTAGACATGTTTTTTTTGGGGGGGGGGGGGGGTGGGGGGTGGGGGGGGCGGTGTGTGGAGGGGGTGGTGTGTGGGGGTGAGGGGTGGGGGTGGTGTGTGGTGGGGGGTGGGGGTGGTGTGTGGGGTTGAGGGGTTGGGTTGGGGGTGGTGTGTGGTGGGGGGTGGGGGTGGGGGTGGTGTGTGGGGGGGTGGGGTGGGGGTGGTGTGTGGGGGGGGGGGGTGGGTTGGTTTTAGTTTAGAGAAAAGAGACAGCACTATCAGCCTAGCGCCCGTTGTACCCTTCCTCAACGGGCCATTTTTCTCGTATATTTATAATCTTACTGAAAAGTCAAAAGCACAAGCCGGAACATGTCCTTCCGCAAAATGTATATTTGACATTCCAAATGAGGCTGTGCAGGGCGGGTCACGGATAACTTCGGAGTCAGTCACATTATGATAGATGTGAGTTCTAAGGTCAGCGCGAGTTCCGAGCCTGAAAAAACATACAACATTATACACAATACTAGTATATTAACTAGTCATGCTGCCTAGCTTCGCTTAGGTATTCAAAACATTGAGAATTTGAATGCTTAATTAATTAGTGATTGGTTGTTATGTGTAGTGCTTACGTTTAAACAGTAACGCTAATTTTAGAGAAATTGTTGTTGCTGTTGTTGTTTGTTATTTTTATCTTGTGTTTAGAGAAATTTTTGTGATGTTCGCGATATATGAATCAAAAGGTAATAAGAACTACAGAGGTTTCCCGAACAGTATAACTCATAATTGATATTACTTTGAAATTTAAAATTAATTTTTACAATAACTTAGAATACACTTCTTAATTTACAATTTTATATAATGCTACACTTCGACATTTTTTGTTTATGTTTAAAATAGTATAAAATTGTTTGAAAAATAATTATTTTAAAACGTTATCTCCCTTGTAAAATGAACGAATGACGTAGACTGTTTATTATTTTTTTCACAGATAGTTGCCATGCTTAAATAAGAAAATACGTACAATTTCAACGACCATAATGTTGTTTTTTTTAACGACGGGAAAAATAGTTTTTTTGTTACACTCAATGGTCGGTCTACGACCTCACAAAATATCCGGGTTATCGTTCGGCAAGTTTTTTATTTATAGATCATGTAAGAAGAATTTCACTCGTGGTCACTTTTTAGCCCTCGAGCAGAGGCTGACCGATACTATATCCAAAAGGCCGATTCATTTACTCAGCTCAATGCAAAAAATTGGCCAGATGTACAGAGCTAAAATTCCAAAACATTGTTTAGAATATAGTCATTGTTTTTCACCAAATTAACAATGTTTATATAGGGAATTCGGACCGGTCAGCTCTAAAGCACTTCTGGAGTTTTCCCGAATATAACGCCTACCGTATAGTGACCCCCCCCCCCCCCCCCCCACCGCGGGTATTTCTACGACCTCAGGAGTTATGATTGGGTTTGTTCGTTCAGATTTTTGTATTTATTTTTTTTAACAAAAAAAACCGTACTATATTTATATAAGGAAATATGGCCTCTGGTCAGTTAAACCATTCGTTCCGGAATTTTTCCGAGGGTAGCACAATTTATGTGTGGACACCCTGGGGCCGATGTACATCTCCAAGGGTTTTCATAGGGTTCCTACGTGAGACATTTTTTTTATATATAGCTCATTTAAGGAGAATTTCTCTCTTGGTCACTTTTTAGCCCTCGCCGTGCGAGCAGAGGCTGAATGATAGTTTATCCATAAGGCCGATTCATTTACACGGGTTTATGGAAAAAAAATAGAGCGATGTACAGAGCCAAAGTTCCAAAACATTGTTTTGAAAAGAGTCATCAGTTTTCAGAAAATTAACAATGTTTATATAGGGAAAATTCGGACCGGTCTGTTCTAAAATTCTTCCGGAGTTTTCCGGAACATATCATAGTTTTTTTAACCACCCCCGTGGGTCGGTCTACGACCTCAAAAGTTATGAAAAAGTTCATACGTGGAATTTTTTTCCGATATATAGCTTACATAAGTTGAGGTCAGTTTTGACCCCCTAATCGTGGACTTTTCGGGCAACCGGCACCGGCCTCCGATTTTTGTCGCCCCAAGGCAAGAGCCTGCAGAATTCTAAGCGCCAACGGCGGCGGGAGGTGCCCTATCGGGCACCCGACAACTCTGCTTTATATATATATATAAATTAGAAAATAGCTAAACAAAGATTTCATTGATAAAGTAATGAGGGCCTGAAAATACTGAAATAGTTTGTTATAGAAATGTATTATTGCAATAGATTCTAGATCTAGGTGGGGTCTAGATCTGTCTGTCTCGTTTTTCCGTAGATCTAGATCATCTAGATCTAGATCTAAAATCTCTAGATCTAGAAGATCTAAAATATCTAGATCTAGATCTAGAATATCTAGAATCCTAATAGATATTTTTTTTTTTAAGTTTAGGCTGAGAAATTTGTATTGTATAAATTTTATAGCTTACGTAGATCTAAATCATATTTGAATGAAATAGTTCATTTCTTTATTTTCTAAACTCGGAAAATGACGTAATTAATTCTTTGCTCTTTTTTTGTGTAAACATTAGTAGCGTCATTGTTTCATACGTTCTTTATCACAACTATAAACACTTTTCCGGTTGCATGATTAAAACTGTTTTTCTACATTTGAATATGCCTTTATGTTTTATTTTTCTTCTTTGAGTAAAATTGTGTTTATACATTAAAAACATCTAACATATTATGTTCAACAAATATTTTGCGGACAAAGAGAGACAGACAGAGAGAGAGAGAGAGAGAGAGAGAGAGAGAAGATTACACAGATATATCATAACAGATTCACATTTACATTAAAGTTAACATGCATAGGATTATCCATGGAATAACTAACAAACAAATTCACATTTGCATTAATAATTTAATCTTTATACTTATTAATAGATAAGCTGTATACCTAAATATAATACACACATACACTGAACTAAAACTTACCAGAAGTTACGGGTTCTAAATTTTGCAAATTCTACATGTGTGTTATGTCCATTTTTGCTTACCCCCACCATTGCAGTATACGTACTATGCAAGTAAGACGTTCTCAGGTAAAACCAGAGTTCCTAGAAAAACAAAATATAATAACTTGATTAAAAATGTAATTGCAACAAGCGATAATTTTTCCACTAAAACAAATACAATTTTAATATTCTACGGCTCCCCTTTTGCACTACTATCAAAATAACCATATTGTAAATGAATGTGACTGTGACTGTGACTGTGACTGTGATTGTGATTGTGATTGTGATTGTGATTGTGATTGTGATTGTGATTGTGATTGTGATTGTGATTGTGATTGTGATTGTGATTGTGATTGTGATTGTGTACGTGTACGTGTACGTGTACGTGTACGTGTAAGTGTAAGTGTAAGTGTAAGTGTACGTGTACGTGTACGTGTACGTGTACGTGTACGTGTACGTGTACGTGTACGTGTACGTGTACGTGTACGTGTACGTGTACGTGTACGTGTACGTGTACGTGTACGTGTACGTGTACGTGTACGTGTACGTGTACGTGTACGTGTACGTGTACGTGTACGTGTACGTGTACGTGTACGTGTACGTGTACGTGTACGTGTACGTGTACGTGTACGTTCGCGTTCAGGTTCACGTTCACGTTCACGTTCACTTCACGTTAACGTTAACGTTAACGTTAACGTTTACGTTTACGTTTACGTTCACGTTCACGTTTACGTTTACGTTTACGTTTACGTTTACGTTTACGTTTACGTTTACGTTTACGTTTACGTTTACGTTTACGTTTACGTTTACGTTTACGTTTACGTTTACTTTTACGTTTACGTTTACGTTTACGTTTACGTTTACGTTTACGTTTACGTTTACGTTTACGCTTACGTTTACGCTTACGCTTACGTTTACGTTTACGTTTACGTTTACGTTTACGTTTACGTTTACGTTTACGTTTACGTTTACGTTTACGTTTACGTTCGCGTTTACGTTTACGTTTACGTTCGCGTTCACGTTTACGTTTACGTTTACGTTTACGTTTACGTTTACGTTTACGTTTACGTTTACGTTTACGTTTACGTTTACGTTTACGTTTACGTTTACGTTTACGTTTACGTTTACGTTTACGTTTACGTTTACGTTTACGTTTACGTTTACGTTTACGTTTACGTTTACGTTTACGTTTACGTTTACGTTTACGTTTACGCTGACGCTGACGCTGACGCTGACGTTGACGTTGACGTTTACGTTTACGTTGACGTTTACGTTGACGCTTAAGTTTACATTTACGTTTACGTTTACGTTTACGTTTACGTTTACGTTCACGTTCACGTTTACGTTCACGTTCGCGTTTACGTTTACGTTTACGTTTACGTTTACGTTTACGTTTACGTTTACGTTTACGTTTACGTTTACGTTTACGTTTACGTTTACGTTTACGTTTACGTTTACATTTACGTTTACGTTTGCGATTACGTTTGCGTTTGCGTTTGCGTTTGCGTTTACGTTTACGTTTACGTTTACGTTTACGTTTACGTTTACGTTTACGTTTACGTTTACGTTTACGTTTACGTTTACGTTTGCGTTTACGTTTACGTTTACGTTTACGTTTACGTTTACGTTTACGTTTACGTTTACGTTTACGTTTACGTTTACGTTTACGTTTACGTTTACGTTTACGTTTACGTTTACGTTTACGTTTACGTTTACGTTTACGTTTACGTTTACGTTTACGTTTACGTTTACGTTTACGCTTACGCTTACGTTTACGCTTACGTTTACGCTTACGTTTACGTTCATGTGTTTCGGTAAAAAATTATATCTTTGCTAAGTTATGATTTTTACCGTAATACATGCGTTAATGTTTACCATAACCCAGGTATTAAAAGTCTTCCTGGAAAGTTTTCTGCGATAAAAGGTTTGAGAAGATGGCGCCAAACATTAGGGTGCTAAAAAAATATCCACCGGAGACGAACGACCGACCCTTTTGTGTGATGTGTGTGTTTTTTAACCCATATTCTGCTAGCGTCCCACTTATGGGACGCTTGTAAAAAAAATTGCTAAAATTTTTAAAAAACTAATTAAAACACAAATTATGTTTCATTGTATTTGAAAATGGTTAGACTATTGAATTTGTGTGTGTTTTGTGAAAAAAAATAATTTAGAAAAATGTTATAGTGCCGGATTTGCAGGACTTGTCAAAATGGCGGAAAAAAGAAAACATGCGCACAGGAAAATGCATATCTTCTAAAATATTAACATTTTAAGTGCAAAATACATTTGAAACTTGTAGCAGTACCATATTTCTATCTGATAAAAATTTAAGAATAACATATTTTTTTTACTACATCGTTATATCAAGTGTACAACAAGCGTCCCATAAGTGGGACGCTAGCAACGAAAGGCCCCATGTAGATTGTTACACAAACGTCACATTTGTTGGACACTAGCGAGAAACACAGATGCAAATGTTTATGTTAAATGGTTATTTATTGTGAAACAATGGTTGACTTTGTTAACTGCTGACTTTGGGGTGTTAAGTAGTATTTATAGATATTTAATTATGACCTTGACCTATATTTATGCAGATTGTTACACAAACGTCACATTTATTGGACACTAGTGAGAAACACAGATGCAAATATTTATGTTAAATGGTTATTTATGGTGAAACAATTGTTGACTTTGTTAACTGTTGACTTTGGGGTGTTAAGTAATATTTATAGATATTTAATTATGACCTTGACCTATATTTTCTTATATATTATTGTATTTAAAAATTGCAAATATTGAAAAACTTACATTTTATTTTAAGTTTTCAGAATTACACTTACTGAAGTATTTAATACCATTGAATACAAACTAATTTAGTATTGCTGTAAATTTACTAGCGCTTGATATTAAATTTATAACAAACCAGAATAATAACAATGGCCACTATTTAGGTGAAATGATTCAGTCATGGGGGTTGGTTAACTCTCTTCATATAAGAGAGCTTAGGCTACATATAGCAGAGATGTGAATTAGCTGTGTACAGTTGTCATGTCCCAATAATATTCCCCTCCAAAGGTTCCCAATACCAGTTTTACTTTGTTAACTTTTTAAGGAGATTCCTGGTGTTAGATTGGGAGCTGTTCGCATAGTGAGGTGCATACATGGATGAGAGCCATGAACACTCAATACAAGCCCCCAGAGACGGATCCGTGCCCTAGAAATAAGATGTCTGATGTCCTAATGTACGCCTGTGAGGGGGGTGGGGGGAATAGCGAGGGTAACAAAAGAGAAGATGGCTGGATGACATCTGGGACTGGACCGGATCATCTTTTGCAAATTCACTGAGGGCAGAGTTTCTTTCAGGCATCATTTCGGAGGAGGGGGGGGGGGCTCTGCCCCCAGAACAAAATGGAATTTATATACAAAGCATACTTTTACCGATGTCCACCCTTCCCCTGAAATTTAAGTCCCCACCTCTGAAAATTTCAAGTACGCCCCCCTATAAAATCAATTATTTATATTTAATTATATTACATTTTCGATGAATAATAATAATATTTGTGATCATGTGTGTATAATTAGATGTACTAGTCACAGCTTTACTTATTTCCAAGTGTTGTTCACTTTGATGGATGCTAGATTGAAAGAAAACTAGACTTTTGAACATAATTTCTGCATTTTCGACCATGGTATGGCTAACCCAATTGATCATTATCAGTATTTTTAGCTGTCCTAAACAATGTAATCGTTGTTCTAACAATACAACATCAGTATACAGCTTTATTTTCGCGTGATTAGCCATATTTTGTGATAAATCATTTTATTTTTCAATAAATTTACATGGGGCCGTTCGTTGCTAGCGTCCCATTTATGGGACGTTTTTTAAAAAATCGATATTTAAAAAAGTATTGATTTTTAAAAAAAATCCATAGTCATTCCTTCATTCAGTGCCCAAAAGCTAAACCATATCCAAAAATTATAAAAATTATAATATGGGTTAAGGTAATGAAGCGTGGTCTGTATGGTGTACGATGAATGATTTTGTGTGTATCTTCGGGAAAGTAGGTGCCCTGTTGGAGTGTTGTGGTGGTGTTGTGTGACTAGAATAATCGGGTGTGATGTGGAGTGGTGTCGGGTTTTATTCGGAGAACTGTACATGTGATGTGAGGGCTGTATGTGGAGTGATTAGATTTCGTATGTGGGGCAGGTTTGTTAGGATTCGGTCTACTCTGTATGAAGTGAGGTGAATGTTTGTCGTGGGCTTTGCTTCGGCGTGTCGTTCATGATGTCTTGATGCGTGAATCTATCAGCTAAGTGGTGTATGTTTATGTTTTGATGTACTCCGAGTGTTGTGTTTTGTTTGTGTGTGTGGTGTATGGTGATTAAAGTGTATGGTGAGGGATCAGAGGCGTAGCGAGGGGGGGCGGGGGGTGCGGACCGCACCGGGTGACACCATTTAAGGGGGTGACACCAAGGCAAAAAATAGCAAAATATATAGAGAAAAACTTGAGGAGGGGGGTGCAAATCGAAAACTTGAGGGGGGGTGCGAATCGAAAGTTTGAAGGGGGGAGGGCAAATCGAAAATGTGTCCCCGGGAAGGGTCGCTACGCCTCTGGGGGGTAAAACCATTAAGTGCCGCACCGGGTGACACCCGACCTCGCTACGCCACTGTGTAGGATGAATGATTACTTTTGAATCGTGTCGATAGTTACACGTGTCGTGTATGTAAGCGTATGGCAGTTTGAAAGTGGGGCGTAGGGTTTGGAAGTGTGTCCTGCGGATCGAAGTGCATTGTACTCTTCTGTTATCCTCTCCCTTTAACTCTTTGTAATATATGATTTATGAAATTAATATTTCCTTCACGATAATTTCAAAATAACAATTGTTTTATGTGTAGTGCCATTATTTTCTATTGTCCGCTGTTGTGCGGGTTTAGATACTAAAAAATAAAAAATAAAAACAAAAAGAAAATACAAATACAGACCGGTGCTGTGAATTGTGGGTTTAGAGTCAGTGTCGTATCAAAAGGCAACATTTCAAAAGTAAAATCAACTCTTGTATTGTTACTTGAGTGCACAGCCGTACCCCATTGGCTAGAAGCAACACGAAGCACGTTGCTGTATAAAATGTTGTTACATTCCGCTAGTCCAATGCCAAAATAGAAAACAATTTTTTTTAATGTGTTTAACTAAATATCAATTATTTAAAAAGGTTATTTATTTTAAAAACTGAAACTGTTCTAGAGTTGTTAACTTAAACTGTATGAGACAAGGTTCTAACCGTAATATTTCAGTCTCCCTAAAACTTCGCCCCTCTTCCCTTGCGTTTCTTTTGAAACTTTATAACATACTAGCGTGCCCGTCCCAGCGTATTGTCGCGGTTTCAGAAAAAAAAGTATGATGTAAAATTTTAGGAGGGTTTTATCATTGCGTTACCAATCCTATATTCTTATGCGTGTGACCTATTTTTCTAAAACTGACATAACAAAAATGTAAACTGTGCCTGACGATATATATTTCTTTGATAGTATTTGATTGTATTTGTCAAAACGATATCGACTTTAATTTTTTTATTTACCGAATATTGAGAAAAATCGCACACTCCCGGGAAGCTACCCCTAACGGACTAAAAAAAAAACAAATTTGAAAACAAAACGGAATACTCACACATTCTGGCAAGATTTAGCAGAATCATTAAGCTAATCAGGATCATTTTCATGTAGTCTTGTAATAGTTCACTGAATACAATATCGTAACACATAATAAATACATATTGTATTCTTAAACATTTTAAAACAACAAGATTACTAAGACTCTTGAAACTTCAGCACTCTACTTAACAGTCTGAGTAATTTCATGTCAAAGAGTTGACGGAATATTCACAAACCGATTTCTTGGATGGTGATTAGAACTGCTAAGTATTGCTTAATAGTATAATTCAAATAATTGAATGAGAAAACGAATGGTTAAAATACCATCTTTATGACCCTATTAATCAATTTTAAAAACAATCATTTTTCCCAAGCTTGCATGCTCTCAACGAAAAGTTTTACATCCGTCATCATTTTCTATTTGGCATCTTTGGAGCGTTGGATTTCTTATTTATTTGATAATCGTATTTTCCGTCCTCTCGGAAACACCCAAACCTTACAATAGGCTTTTTAAATAACACACATATGGTTTTTTTCGTGTCCTAATTTTCCTTGCTTTTTGCTGTTTATCTCATATCGCAGTTTTTGTGTTACTAAAAAGCCTAGCACTGTTAAACTTGATTTCAACCCTGTTTTGCTTTTTAATACTTACTTTCATCTGCCAAAGATAGAAAAAATATTCAAAAGGCTATAGATCTTAAATTGTAAAAAAAAAAAATAAACTGAACTTATCCCCTTAATTAGATGATTAATTAACTTTTTAAAAATTAATCAAGATTTTCTATGTAAAGTACTAATGTTCCAAACTATGATACACTATTTTTTGCTGTTCATTTGGTATGCAATTCATTTTCCTTTGAGATCCTACTATATGTTTTTCAAAGTACTCATACATTTCTTTTTAAAAAATGTAAATATCCCGACTGCATTAGTTTTAGAATCCCCTTAGTGTTATCTAAGAATATTCGATAAAGTTTAGTGGAGATCACTCCAATTTTATTTAAAAGATTTTCATAATTTTCCTATAAATACATAGCAAAGCGGTCAGATCCCGGTTAGGGTATTACTCGGCGCCACAGCAATTCAAGTTTGGCAGGCTCCTGCCTTTTGGGCAATAGAACAAGGGGGCCGTACCGGTTGATCACAAGGTTCAAGAAGATGGGGTCAAAGCTGACCATGACTGACCGGCGTCTAATAAGAGCTATATATCGCTCAAAAAATGTTTGCCAAAAACGACCCACCTTGAAAATTTGTAAGGTCGTAGAAAAAGGTCTAGAGGTGTTATAAAAATTCGCCATATCTTGGAAAACTTCGTAAAGTGGTAAAACTTGACCAGTTGTATTTCCCTATATAATCTTTGTATTTTATGGAAAAAACAGAAGGAAATTTCAACAAAGATTTTAGGGCGCTTACCCTCTGTACACCAGGTTAATTTTTTGCAATCACCTCTGTAAATGACAAAGACGTATGGGAAAACTGTCGGTTTGACTCAAGTCAATCGACGAGGGCTAAAACATGAACAGCAGTAAAATTCTCATTATATGAGCTATACATAAAAAAAAAACTTTTCCCGAACGAACCCCTTTGATAATTTGTGAGTTCGTAGACGTACGCTTAGTGGTGTCAGAAAAAAAAACTTGCCATATCCGAGGAAAATCTTGAAAGTGGTCAAAACTAACCAGTCGTGTTTCCCTAAATAATGTTTAATTTTATTTGAAAAACAGGGTAATTTCAGCACACATTTTTGGGTACTTAACCTCTGTACACTTGACTAATTTTTTGCATGGACCTCTATATATGACTAGGCCGTTTGGAAAAAAACTGTGGATGAGACTCTAAGCTCTCGTCGAGGGCTAAAAGTGACCGCGTGCTTAACAAAAAAATCTTTATTCCCGTCGTAAACACATATCTAACACGTGTTTGTGAAAAAGTACAACTTTTTAACTTTTTATTTTATAGTTTTTAAATTAATATAAAAAATGTTTTTATCGTATTTTATCGTATTTTCAACAAAAACAGAAAATATTAAAGTATAGCATTTGTTGAAATAGAATATTTGTTATTAGTTGAGTTATGTGTGAACGGGTGAATGGATGATTTATTTTGTATTATTTTAATTGGGTGCGAATCTGTGCATGAATGTTCTACTAGACAGAGGCTGCGGGGTTTCCCCTTCCGGCCAGTCACAGGTATTTAACGCCGAGTGACCGCCAGCATTAGTCCTTGTTCACCTTATAACCAGAATGTAGATCGGGTCTGTTTCTGTGTGAGCTCTTGGCGCACCTTGTGCGTGAAGGTATTTGTTTTTTTATATTTTATTTTTATAAGTTATGTGTATGAAAGCGACTGCCGATGTTTCTCGTTATCTTTCTTTTTCGTGTAAAACGAGATAGTGGGCATCGGTAGGTCAGTTACACACGTAGTGTATTCTTTTTGTTGGTTTAAAATGTATTTTAGTATTTTCTAAACCCTTGGCGTGTGTTTTGGACCTCGTGGTTTAGGTCGTTATGTTTAAAAGGGTTTCTTAACAGAATTTAATGCGTGTGTGTATTTTACTTGATTATTTTAGATATCTTTAGAAGAGGTTAGTAATATTTAAACATCTATATATATATAATTCTCTTCTGGGAGCAGTTAGAAAACAAGCTGCAAGCGCCTCCTTGCAGTCCCCTCTCTTTCTCTCTATCACTATCACTACCACCCCCACCCCACCCCCACATTGTCTGGTGAGCTGTGGTCACGCTGTTTACATTTTACAATCATAGAGACGGGTTTGGTGACGGCTATTAGGGGCATATAATTTAGTTTGAAACGATTTTAAACTTAGAGGAGGTAACTAAGAGGAGGCTGCTTTCATGTGGGGGGGGGGGGGGGGTTGAGGGGGGTTTAGTGTTTTTCCCACGTTTTCTTTAACTTGCTTTCTCTGTTTGTGTGTTTGTCTTTCCAATCAAATCTTGCGATCGAAATTTCTGGCACTTCCCAGTTAGCTAGCGCGCTGAAATTTTCAGGGAAGCTTTCTTTTGGATGACCATTGAATATTCAATTGTTATTATTACTAAATTGATCAATGGAAACATTTTATTGAGCATTTTAGACCGCTATATAATCTATATATATATAATTCTCCTCTGCTAGCCATTAGAAAAAAAACCAGCGACGCGTACCTCGCGCGCAGTGAAGCGAACGATCACATGTCGCCACAGGCTTAGGGGCAGAGAATTTAGCTTGAACCGAGTTTAAACTTACAGGAGGTAGGCCAGTTTGGGGGAGACGATATGGTCGAGTGGTTGGGCACACGATTGCTATCCCACTCGACACGGGTTCAAATCTATGTGTTCTAGTCAGTAACGTATTCAAACAACGTGTTTTTTACGAGTTGTCTTTTTACGAGTTGTCTTTTTACGAGTTGTCTTTTTACGAGTTGTCTTTTTACGAGTTGTCTTTTTACGAGTTGTCTTCGTTTACCCAAAAAAAGTGAAAAGATAAAATCGATAGCAAGATTTTAATGCAAACAAACAGACAAAGACTAAAAAGTAGAAAATAATAATCATTAAAAAAGTTTTAAAAAACCCACGTTTTCTGATTGAACTAAAAAGTAGAAAATAAATGCTATAGGCCCTACATCACAATAATGCAAGCGATCACTCTACTATAAGCGAGCAAAAACGTGGGGCGCCGTGATTTTCTTACAGTTTCTAATACTGTTGACTCTCTACAAGCTCCCTAATAAAAGTCAATAGTATTATCTAATCAATAGTAATATAACTTTTACTTCGGCGCCCCACGTTTTTCATCGCTTATAGTAGAGTGATCGCTTGCATTATTGTGATGTAGGGCCTATAGCATTTATTTTCTACTTTTTAGTTCAATCAGAAAACGTGGGTTTTTTAAAACTTTTTTAATGATTATTATTAAGCAAATATTTTCAGTGGCAGCATTGGTACTGTCGAATTCACAAATTATAAATTACTGAAAAGTAGAAAAAAAAAACTAAATTGCGGCGTATGAAACGCAGCGGGTCGGCTCGTATGTATATATTGATGTATGTATTTGCCATGCATTTATTTGTTTTCTTTATTCTTTTCGCTCCCCCCCCCCCTTCCGGCGAGGTTGCTTGCGCAACGTGGCTGAGTATTTTGTATGTATTGTTTTGTACGTATTGTTTTATACGTAGTGTTGTGTATGCATTGTTTTGTTTGATGTGGATATTAGATGGCGTTTCGTAGGCCGTAGCGGATAGGAAGGTTGTCTGTGTGGTAAGAGCCTAGACTATCCGAGGCACCGAATGTACATAATATTCCATCGAACATTGTGTGTTTTTTTTAGTGTTTATTAGATGATTGTTCAAGATGTTTAGAGTTTGACTTAGTGTGTACGCTTTCCTGTTTCTATTTTTTATGTATTAAATTTGATTAAATTGTTAAAGTTTTTTTGTGTTTTTATCTAGACTAAGGTTAGGGTTTAACCAACGTGGGTTTTACCACGTTGCACTGACCGGACAGTTATTAGTTAAGCCTAGGGCAGAGTAGATAGTGTAGTTATCCCCCACCCCTAGCAGGGCTTACGAATTGGTAGCACGCGTGGGGTCTGTGCTTTAGTCTAGGTAAATTTTTGTTTTTCTATTAGGGCTAGGTTAGTATAGGTAAATTTTGTTTTTGATAGGTCACCATGGAACAATGTATGTGTTTAGTCTGTTTGTCTAGAGTAGGGATTGTTCAAACACCCAGTCAGGTTGGTGGAGATCGGTGCCTCCAGTGTGCTAGGCTGGACAAGGCACGGTGTGTGGCGCAGGATCTGGTTTGTAAGGCAGACCGGTGACTTGGAGAACGGTGGCAGTCGACCTGACTATAAAAGGCTTATGGCGTCAAAGTCTTGACCCACAAAGAGGGCTAACTGGACACCTTCCCCACGCGTGTGTCGAGGCGGACATACGATGATTGGCGGCGTGTAACAGCAAGAGAGGCAGTGGTGTAAGGCGGTTGCGTCATCTCCGGACCAACCAAGCCGACGCTCCACCAGTGGGCCTACGCTGTGACGCAAGACCAGACGGCGTGTGTACAGATGAGACGTTGCCACAGCGTGTGTCTAGTGCACGCGGTGTGTGATATGGTCAGCCGTCCATCGGACCTTGCTTTACGAGCAAGTCGGGCCACCTGTGCCTCGCCCCACCTGTTGTCTAGATGGTCAGCACGGCGCAAACTTCACAATCACCCAGATAGGGGATGCTACTCTACATGAAAAGAGGGGTGGACCATCTGCTATTCGCAGTGTAGCTAGAACTCTGATTAAAATGTTTGTGCCTACTCGCACCCAGTATGGGTTTTAACAACCGCCAGGAAATCTTCCCGCCCCCACACCAGTATGCCAGGCTATAAACATTGTTAAGTAAGAAATGTTGCTACCAATGCACCAGACTACCGGCATTCGGGTAGCATGGCCACCCCGGATAAAGTTATCAAATCTGCTCTCAGTTGATGGTACGAAATGGAGAAAATATTGGGACACTGCGTCGGTCAACTAGGGATCGCGATACGCAGACTGCTGTATTTGTAACTGTGTCATGCTGTATTAATTTTGTTACTCCCTGATGTATATTTTTTGTATATTTTATTTGAATGGCTTACATGGACTGCAAGTTTTAAAACAGGGTGAATGTGAGCGGGTGAATGGATGATTTATTTTGTATTATTTTAGTTGGATGCGAATCTGTGCGTGAATGTTCTACTAGACAGAGGCTACGGGGTTTCCACTTCCGGCCAGTCACGGGGTATTTAAGGCCGAGTGACCGCCAGCATTAGTCCTTTTTCACCTTATAACCAGAATGTAGATCGGGTCTGTTTCTGTGTGAGCTCTTGGCGCACCTCGTGCGTGAAGGTATTTTTTTTTTTTTTATATTTTCTTTTTTGGAGGTGATTTGTAAGAAAGCGACTGCCGATGTTCTTTTCTCTTCCACCCTCCCTTCCAGTGAGGTTGCTTGTGCAGCTTGGCTGGGTGTTTTGTATGTATTGTTTTTTTATATTGTTTTGTAGGTATTGTTTTATACGTAGTGTTGTGTATGCATTGTTTTGTTTGTTGTGTTTGGTGCGGATATTAGATGGCGTTTCGGTGGCCGTAGGGGATAGGAAGATTGTCTGTGTGGTCTGTGTGTTTAGAATTTGACTTAATGTTTACGCTTTTTTGTTCTATTTTTTATGTAATAAATTTGATTAAATTGTTAAAGTTTTTTTGTGTTTTTATCTAGACTAAGGTTAGAGTTTAACCACCGTGGGTTTTACCACGGTTGCACTGACCGGACAGTTATTAGTAAAACCTAGGGAAGGGTAGATAGTGTAGTTATCCCCCACCCCTAGCATGGCTTACATATGTATCGTAATTAAATTGTAAAAATTAATTTCAAAAGTTAATTTATTTATATAATGTTTGAGCAGTCGTGACCAAGACTTAACCATCAACTAGTTGGTGAAGCTATTTATAGTGGTTATTTTTGTTTAATCCACTTTTGTAATTTTTTGTATTAAAGTAATCTTTTAATTATGTTTTTTTACATAAATCTTTCGAGTAATAAAATTACAATACTAGATTGTGTTGAATTTTCAACGAAGAAGAATGTAAACTGCGTATTCTGTATGTCTCATTAACCATAAATAATTATACACGTAAGAGCCTAATTTAAAAAAAAAATCATGATATATTTTTTCTATCAAACTTTTAAACGTCTTTTGTTTTTATAAAACTTCGCTGTTTTGAAGCCAAATTTGTGAGTTAGCCTTCACAGCTTGCTCAAAGCAGATGCTTAAAACTAGAATCATAGATATCCACGCCGATACAATATACATTTATTTAATAAAACTTGCAATTAAGGCACATTTTCTACATTAATTGACTTACTCAGTTGCATATCATATTGTATTTTTCATCTTGTTAAAAATCGTTACTATCACATTTTAAGAAATTAAATCACATGCTTCTTTAGTTAACAACGTAAAACTCACGAAAAACACGAACACATTTAATCCAACTTACACTTTACAACCTAGGTTCTTCGTAAATTTACTGCTATCAATCAACGGTCGCCTCTGAGAGCAGCAGAGTACGACTAAACATCCCGTTTTATAGAATGTCACTTACAGCTTAGGAGGCTGGGCGTGTTGGATCATCATCCAATAGGAATGTTTCATTAGTCAATCAACGAATAAACCCATCTCTACCATATAAAACACGCACACGGTAGGCGTATCTGTTGTATAGTATTTCTTTAGCCTATTAAAATAGAATGACTATTGTATGTTAACTATAAGCGAATTTGTTTAAAAATATTATTTTTGCAAACAAAGATGTGATAGGTTGTTGGTAAATGGTGGTATTGTATTAACTGGTAGCTTTAGGACTAGATCAGGGAACAGTTCACGTTAACTGGAAAGAAGTGCAACGGAAAAATGCTGACGGGAAAACTGCGCACACAAAAAATGCGCAAGGGCATTTTTTTTTGTTTTCTTAAATCGAACATTTATAAAAAGTAACATAGAGTACATGTACATTGTAGCATAAATAAAGCATTTTTCCTCGAAATATGACAAAATTGTATTATACTAGTTTTCTTTGTTTGTATTTCTGAATTTTTCTGTTTGCGCAGTTTTTCGTTTCGCAGTTTTTTAATTGCCCATTGTTTGTGGGAACTCTTTTCATAGTGAATTCATTAATCTTACTTTACTGCGTACATGTACCGAACCTACCTCAGAAATGTAATGCGGTTAGTGTCAGACAATAGATTTTCTGAAAATAATTGCTAGTATATAGCGATATCAGGATCAGGATTGAGCTTTAGGAATTACGTGTAGAGATTTAGGCCTAGACTTTTTTTTTATATATTCTCCTGTTAAATTCTATAAAAGAGACATATTTGGGTCAAAGGAATTGTGATGAGAATAAGGAAAGGAATAATTTTTAAAGTTATTGTAAGGGATATTAGTAAGATTTATGATAGGTATAGAGTGAGGTTTAGGTAAAAGAATAAGTTTTAAGTGGGAATCAGGGTCATAATCAATGATAGGGATATAGATAGGAATAAATATGTATCTCTATCTCTGCCTCGACCTCCTTCTCATACTCATACTCATACTCATACTCATACTCATACTCATACTCATACTCATACTCATACTCATACTCATACTCATACTCATACTCATACTCATACTCATACTCATACTCATACTCATACTCATACTCATACTCATACTCATACTCATACTCATACTCATACTCATACTCATACTCATACTCATACTCATACTCATACTCATACTCATACTCATACTCATACTCATACTCATACTCATACTCATACTCATACTCATACTCATACTCATACTCATACTCATACTCATACTCATACTCATACTCATACTCATACTCATACTCATACTCATACTCATACTCATACTCATACTCATACTCATACTCATACTCATACTCATACTCATACTCATACTCATACTCATACCCATACCCATACCCATACCCATACTCATACTCATACTCATACTCATACTCATACTCATACTCATACTCATACTCATACTCATACTCATACTCATACTCATACTCATACTCATACTCATACTCATACTCATACTCATACTCATACTCATACTCATACTCATACTCATACTCATACTCATACTCATACTCATACTCATACTCATACTCATACTCATACTCATACTCATACTCATACTCATACTCATACTCATACTCATACTCATACTCATACTCATACTCATACTCATACTCATACTCATACTCATACTCATACTCATACTCATACTCATACTCATACTCATACTCATACTCATACTCATACTCATACTCATACTCATACTCATACTCATACTCATACTCATACTCATACTCATACTCATACTCATACTCATACTCATACTCATACTCATACTCATACTCATACTCATACTCATACTCATACTCATACTCATACTCATACTCATACTCATACTCATACTCATACTCATACTCATACTCATACTCATACTCATACTCATACTCATACTCATACTCATACTCATACTCATACTCATACTCATACTCATACTCATACTCATACTCATACTCATACTCATACTCATACTCATACTCATACTCATACTCATACTCATACTCATACTCATACTCATACTCATACTCATACTCATACTCATACTCATACTCATACTCATGCTCATGCTCATGCTCATGCTCATGCTCATGCTCATACTCATACTCATGCTCATACTCATACTCATGCTCATGCTCATGCTCATGCATATACTCATACGCATACACTCATACGCATATACTCATACTCATATAATCATACTCATATACTCATACGCATACTCCTATCTATACCATCACCCTAATGTTTAAACAAAATACATAAAACTTGTCTAAAATTCAATTAGTTTTATTAAATATTGTAAATGGAAATCCGTTAATCACGTTTTGTACATTATAAAATAAACATTTTTTATGAGTAAAATATTTAATTAATTCCGAAACTATTACACTGAATTTCATAAAATGTATTTCTTTTTAAAGCCTTTGCTTTTGTTGTTTTGTAATAAAGTTATCTGTTATCACATTCCAACAACTAATTCACCTACAATTTTCAAACATGCTCCTAAGCAGATAACTAACCAAATATTTTCTTTACTATTTTTAAGTGTACGTAGAAAAAGCCACACAAGTAAATTAACACTCTTAGGTCGCTTAGTCAACTACCCTAAGGTGCGATGACTGGGCATGTCTTTCTAACAACTTAAAATTATGAGTGTCTGTGTGGTAACTGGACTTAATCCTCTTTAGGCCTTGTTAAGCATAGGGCCTCAATCACAACATTTTATCTACTTCTGTCCCCCGCTGTGGATTTTGCTGTCTCCCAAGCGTTTTTCCTAATATATAAAAGGCCATGTGCGCATTTCTCTCTCTCTCTCTTTCTCTGTCCGCAAATATTTTCGCAGGATATTACACCAGAATCTTCAGCGATATATGGAGAACTTGATACGGACTTTGGTTGAAAATAATATCTTAGATGTTTTAAATATAATAACATAATTTTATTTAAAGAAGAAAAATAAAAAATAGAGGCGTATTCGAATGTAGAACAACAATTTAAATCATGCAACCGGAAAAGTGTTTATAGTTTGGACAAGAACGCATTTAACAATGATCACACTTTATGTTTACACTCAGTAAAGAGCACGAAACAATGACGTCATCTTCCGAGTTTATAATAAAATTAATTAAGAAATGAACTATTTCATTCAAATATGATTTAGAGCTACGTATGCTATGAAATGTATACGATACGATTTTCCCGGCCTAAACTTATAACATTTATTTTATCTATTTGGATTCTAAATCTAGATATTCTAGATCTAGAATAGATCTACGCAAAAACTAGACGTAGACGCTAAGATCTAGATTTAGACTCTATCTACTCTAGAATCTATTCCAATAATACATTTCTATTTTAAACTATTTCAGGCCTTAATTATTTTATACGAGCCGACCCGCGGCATATCATACGCCGCTATTTAGTTGTTTTTTTTTTCTACTTTTCAGTTATTCATAATTTGTGAATTCGACACTACCAACGCTGCCACTGAAAAATGATGATTACACTTCATTAAGTGATTAATTTGAGTGTTAAATAATCTTATAAGAGGTGCAAATCGAAAATTTGAGGGGGAGTGCAAATCGAAAATCGAAAGTTTGTCCCCGGGAAGGGTCGCTACACCTCTGAGGGGGGACACCATTAAAAGCCGCACCGGGTGAAACCCGACCTCGCTACGCCACTGACTCTAACCCTTTATTTTCGGAACGGAAAACGCGAGGGATACCGAAATTCATTCAATATTTTGTAACTATAACCATTCGATGTCGTATCTCACCAGGATTTGCCTTCCCTCCAACTGGGATTGGGAACCCTTGTCTTACCAACCAATATCTGGCACACACCTCGGGGAAGCTGGACATTCGATACATACGGGTCTAGGACAATAAGATATGGATTGGCTTAGCTTAGATTAGATCTGATAATATCAAATTAAATTAGGTTTCATAAAGTTATGTTATGTTAGGTTAGTTTAGGTTGGATTGTTAGGTTAGGTTAGGTTAGGTTAGGTTAGGTTAGGTTAGGTTAGGTTAGGTTAGGTTAGGTTAGGTTAGGTTAGGTTAGGTTAGGTTAGGTTAGGTTAGGTTAGGTTAGGTTAGGTTAGGTTAGGTCAGGTCAGGTCAGGTCAGGTCAGGTCAGGTCAGGTCAGGTCAGGTCAGGACAGGCTAGGTTAGGTTAGGTTAGGTTAGGTTAGGTTAGGTTAGGTTAGGTTAGGTTAGGTTAGGTTAGGTTAGGTTAGGTTAGGTTAGGTTAGGTTAGGTTAGGTTAGGTTAGGTTAGGTTAGGTTAGGTTAGGTTAGATTAGGTTGGGTTGGGTTAGGTTAGGTTGGGTTAAATTATGTTAAATTAGTCTAAATTAGGTTACATTAAGTTAAATTAGGTTAGGTTAGGTTAGGTTAGGTTAGGTTAGGTTAGGTTAGGTTAGGTTAGGTTAGGTTAGGTTAGGTTAGGTTAGGTTAGGTTAGGTTAGGTTAGGTTAGGTTAGGTTAGGCTAGGCTAGGTTAGGTTAGGTTAGATTAGGTTAGGTTAGGTTAGGTTAGGTTAGGTTACTACAACGGAGGAAAAAATACTATTTATTAGTTTCTTTGGTGTTTTGGAAGCTTACTGATATAATTAGAATGGATTAATACAGTGGAATGTGGTAGGCAAAACAGGGATATTTTAGATACTGCCTTTTATTTGTTTTTTACACTGAACGTGCTGTTTTTTAATTAATTTTTTTGATCAATAACAGTTTATAAACCGCTCCTAGATGTGATCTATGTTTACTTCTATCTTTCGGTTTGCAGATAAGCTGTGAGTATTATAGTCGTTCACTAAATTGAGCAGGCACGACTGCTGGCACCCCGGCAGTGTACATTTTAAACAGTGCAATAGACTATAAATAAAAATGAGTATTATAGTCATGTAAAACGTA